AGTAACTCAACAACATCAGGATGATCATCATTGCAAAAGAGAAAGGACTGTTCTCCAAATTCGGCATCAACATACAGTTCGTGATCTTCGCGTAAGTTCTCCGGATTTTCATCGTCTAATGCCGGTATGGAAACATCATGCCACTCATCGTGATCGCGTCTAACCTTCGACTGATTCACACGTACCACTGCCTTACCAGTGTTGGCTTGGACCATAGCTCCTTCTTGTCCAAGTACTGTGGCACGAACCCAACGTCCTTTATCCTTGAACTTTGATGAATCCTGAGTCCAAACAAAGACCTTCTCTCCTTGGAAATAGGGACCGTCACTTGGCATAGTCCTTCTTGCAAGATCTGCTCGAAGGTCCTGAGCTTGTCGTGCTTCTTGATGAGCTCTCAAAGCCACACGTTGTAGTTCCAGATTTGTACGATCTTGTGCGGCTGCATTAGCTGACAATTGCTCAGGGCTTGCGGTCTCAAGGTCAAAAAGATCTGGTGGACGTCTTCCAGTTGCTATCTCTATTGGTGAATATCCACTGATAGTCAACTGACAATTTCTTGCCCAAACTACCTTCTTGACCACTTCTCTGACCATAACACCACGAAAACGTGGGTCATCCAGATCTACCTTCATAACATGCCACATACGTTTGAACAAACGTACAGCTGTCTCTGCTCGGTTCGGCCAAGGAGTTCTTGGCCCACAAGGACATTGTTGTATACCATGGAACCTGTAGTATTCAACAAAAGCATCTGTGAAAAAGGCTTCGTCTCCTACGATGGCCTTTGGAACACAGTTGTTCTCATCAGACCATTGCCTCAATGCTTGGATGGTGGTTTGATCTATGAGGTCTTTCTGCGCCGTAGCCCAGAGAAGATTTGTGGCACCATCAAGAACAAGTAGAATGATATACTTGTTCTTGTGAAGTTCAACCTCACAATGATCAGCAAAAACAACATCACCAAAACATGAAGCTCTAATACCGGAGACTCTGGCTCGTGGCGGAGGTGCCACTGAAGTGTTACAAACACGGCAGTTCCTGACAACTGATTCATACTTCTCTAAAACAGAGTCAGGAAGCTTCAACATAGAAACACGCCTACGAAACTGAGTAGGACTCATATGGTAGTGCTTCACATGAAGCTTATAAAGCTCTACCTTGTCCTCCAGTCTCTGCAACATCTTCCTATATGCGGGTGTCATTGCAACAACTTCACTACCAGGTAATGGGATTGAAATCCGCCTTGGCTCAAGAGCGCCATCACCTGGTTCAAGTGGCTCATGTTTATCACTTGATGGTCCTTTTGATGCTTTAGGAATTTCTACAAGTTCACCTTCTGGCCTCTCAGGTGGTTCTGAGGGAGTATACTCCTCAAGATCATCACCCTTTAAATCATGTGGAGGCTCAGATGGTTTCAACTTGTGTCCTTTCCAAAATGGATCATAACCCTTGGAGGTATACCGAAACTTTGGCGGCACAGGCTTTTCCGCAACACTGGATGGTACACCTTCCTTCTCTGAAGAGAAGCCTGGTTCCCTGTCCTTTGCAATGGGAACCTTCTCTGAGGAGGAGCGCACCACTGCATCGGGATCACCAATGCCACGGTGCTCAATGCCAGCCTTCCTGATCTTAAGATCTGGAATTTTGGCATCTGGCTTGAACTTAAAAATTGTTCTACCACGCCATTCATAGCCAATTTGTAGGTCCTTCCATTTTGCCTTGCGCCAATCATCTAGCTTCTTGATTTCTTCTCCTCCTTCTTTCTTCTTGAGAATCTTCCTGTAATCCTTGTGGTGACGTATCAGTTCTCTTTTGTGAACATCTACTTCCCAGTAATCAACCACAGGATATGCATGCTCAGCTTCATCTTCATCACTATTGTGATCAACAGAAATATGGCCATATTCATAGTGAGTGAAGTGAGAGTAAAAACTCTTCTCACGCCGAGCCTGCAAACGCACGTCAGACAAATACCATGCAATATCTTGGAAGTCCAAAACAAGATGAGTACTGGCTGCAACCCTCAACTCCAAATGTGTGATACCAAGAGGCACCGATGTCAGATAAGCATGTTGAGGTGTCAGCCTGAGTTCAAAGCCTAAGTTTCTCATCTGTGGCAAGCTCATAAGCAAAGGGACTTCTCCTTCTTCCACTATGTCGAACTCTGTATTGTGGATCGCCCATGCGCGATCATACATGTAAATCACCAGTTTCTGAGAGCAAGAAGCCATCTGAGAGTTGGCAAAGTAAAACTTGCTCTTGGTAGCCTCAAAAGAGTACCATAGTCCACAATTTGGGTGACTGTCGACATAGTTACAACAATAATCGACTGCACGCCTTGATCCCATAGCTCTAGTGCATCCAATGTCCAGGATTGCAATAGTTGGCGGGAAGCGATTCTCAGTCAAAAATGAAATAGCCTGCGTCTCTTTCACTTCTTCCTCAGCGCTCATAAGCGCAAAGCCATCAGGAGCACTTGTGGGCATCTCCTTTGACAAAGAGTACCTCACAGGGGCACTCATGCCATCGAAGATCATCTCACCATTGTTGACCTTACAGTCAGCTTCATCTTGACATGAGGTCATCATGCCTGACAGCAAGTTCACCTCACTGTCATGGACTTCAGCTGCTGTTGTCACACAATGCGCAAAGAAACCTTGGTGGCTTCCTGATGCTTGTGAAGATCTTGAAGGTGCAGGCAAAGAGCGTGGCTGTTGTTGATTTGCATAGTTTGCATCTTGTTTGCCATCTCCCTTGTCTTTTCCTTTTCCTTTCTTGCCTTTTCTCTTGCCTTTTCCTTTTCCCTTGTGGGAAAACCATGCTTCTTCCAACTGTTGCCAAAAGTCACAGGCATCTTCATGTTCTCCTTCAAGATAGTCATTCATATCTTCGGCAAGAATGGCATCATATGCTACTTGGTTTGACTCCCAAGTGTCCTCATAAGGATTCTCCTCAAAATACTCATCTGGATAAGTTGGCGGTTGCTCATCAGCATAATGGCCTTTACCTCGTCTCTTTCCTCCTTTTCCTTTTCCACGAGGTCTGAAAAATCTGCGGCCTGATCTTCCTTTACCTTTTCCTTTTCTTCTTCCTTTTCCTTTGCCTTTTCTGGCTCTTCTTCCTTGGAATCTCCTCTGGAACCAAGAGAAATTCTGTTCATCATATACCCAGAAGACATCGTCCAGGGCATCAAGAAATCCTCCTGTTCCATCTTCTTCATCTTCGGCCCAAAAGCCATGTGTACCATCGAGTTCTCCTTCTTCAAACACGATGAATGATCTCCTACCTCCAGCACCTGTCGGCTGCATCAAGGGATTGTCTACTGAAGTCTTTGTCGTGCAGAACATCTCAATGAAAACTGTCCTCAACTCTGTTGTGGTGTATTGCTGCGGGACCCTGCCACGATGAGTCATCAAAGAGGTCAAAGTGTTCCTCTGGTCCTGAGACAAATCTGCAAGTGACAGCATGAGTAATGCAATGAGATTTTCTCCCAAAGGAAAATCGTTCTGATGAAAAGTTCTCAGATTGCCATTGATAGTCTGCATGATTTCCTGAATTCTTTCCGCCGTTGGAGCTACTCCATTCACCACTGCATCAGCTTGCATCTGAGCTTGTACCTGAGGATGTGCTTGTGTGACTGGCTCCAACATGTCCATCCAACTGCTCATAAGCCTTTGGAGTAAAATCTGAGATCTTGTCATCCACTTCATCATGTCAGCTGATCCGCGATTGAAGCGCACGAATTGCATAAACCTATACAGGAATACATTGGTTGCTCCTTTCACAAAATATGGTCGTAGTACTCGTTTGAAATAATCTACTCCAGCTCCTGGTGGATCATTCGCCTTCAATGCATCTCTGTCTAAAACACGTTTGTATACAGCTGCCTCTCCTTCTAATCTGTTCCTCAATGCTGGTCCTCTCTTCTCATCCTCCAGCTCGGTGATATCGCACCAATCGTCTATGGCATCCTCATAGGAAAACCATGAAGTCTTTCCATCATAAGATGGGGGCACCTTTGTAGTGACCTGTGTTGTCATTGCTATAGCTGCTGGTTCTCTTCTCACATGCCTATTCACATAGGCTGCTGGCTCATAAGCCACATCCGCATCAGGCTCTTCCCAGTCGTCAATCCAATCCATGGCTGTTTGCCTAAAAGCAAGTCTATGCCTAGGAAAGGAGCTCACCTGGGTCTTCCAGGATCACTGCTCCGCTACCACTGAAAGAGTGACTAGGGCGTACACGATTGAGGTGCAGACCGCTAGTGTCTTTTTCTACGCAGAGTCTTATCCTCTTGAGCCTTATGGCAGTCAAGCATGGACACACTAGATAGGCCACTGGAGTGGAACCTGTACAAGTAGGCCTCTACGTTTCAGGGTGGGGGGGTGGGGGGGTTAATAACGTCTTTGTTGACATTCTTCCACGTGATGATCTTTATTGAATATGTGCTTCCAAAGAACCATGTGATACAGATGTTCTGTGTCTGATCTAGTTAGTTAGTTTGTTTGTTTGTTAAATAGATAGCTAGTTAACTAGTTAGCTAGCAAGCTAGCTAGTTAGTGAGTACTATGATGTAGTAGTAGTAGTAGTAGTAGTCAGTAGTAATGGTAGTGGTAAAGGTAGTAGTAGTAGTAGTCGTCGTGGTAGTACTATTCGTCTGCGTCTTCGCGGTCGTCGTCGTCGTGGTCTTCGTCGCAGTAGTATGATGTAGTAGTAGCAGTAGTAGCAGTAGTAGTAGGAGTAGTACTTGTAGTAGTGGTAGTTGTGGTAGTTGTGGTAGTAAAGTGGTAGTATAGTGGTAGTGGTAGTGGTAGTGGTAGTGGTAGTGGTAGTGGTAGTAGTAGTAGCAGTAGTAAGGAGTAGTAGAAGTAGTAGTAGTAGTAGTAGTACTAGTAGAAAAAATGCACAAGCGAGGTAAATTTGCAAGTGCACAAGCGAGGTAAATTTCAAGTGCACAAGCGAGTGCTCGCCCCTGTCTTCCCGGGTAAAGTCCAAGGCTCGTCCTAGCACATCATGATCTTCTTGTTGCGTATGCAAGGTGCTGCCCCTTCTTTCTATTTCACTAGACATAGATCCGAAATCAGAAGCTATCCTGACCATCCAAAGCAAGCTTCGAGCAGAGGAGACTCCATCGTCACTGAAGACCCATCTTCCATCTTCAAAGCCGCCAACCATCTTCTTGAAGGAAGGGCAACTGTCTATCTGAAGCCAAACCTCTTGAACTTCTACACCCCTCTAGCTGGAAGGCAGGGCCTCTATCTGGTCGCATGACTCTCGCCCCACCCAATCGCTCCACCTGGAGATCGCCCAGTTGGATCGACGACGGGGTCGAGGTGTTCGCCAGAGCGTTGTCCCCTCTGCGGCGTGGGTGTCGCGGTGTTCGCCAGAGGAGGTGCCTGTGATCGGCAGAGGAGGTGCGGCTGGTGCGAAGCTGATCGGCGTGGTTTGCTCTTGTGGTGGACCTTTCCGATCTTGTGGTGGTTCGAGGGCTGCAAAAAGAAAGGATACCTAGAGGGACACGAAAGAGGGAAGGTGTTTTTGGCGTTTTGGATTCGATGTAGAGGTGTTCAATGGCTTTAAATGGCTACATATTGGGATGGTCACAAGAGATGGTGGTATGTCCCCGGCTTAGTTCGGAGGGGAACGCTCCTCTGGCTTTCCTCCATCAAAACAGCCGCTCCTTGGTCATAGTCTTCACCCAGAAACTACATCACCCAGATTCTGGAAGAACCTACCCCACCATACCTAAGCATACCTAAGCATATACCTAAACCCAGCTTGGGCCGATACCCCCACCCCCATCGTCGTTCTGCAGGCGCCCCGGGGGGGGCCGAGCGAAACACGGTGTGAAAGTGGAATGACAACCACCTGGCTGACTCAAAGGGTCCTGCTATCCGCGGATGTTCATGATGAGTTCAAGGAGTGCATGTCTCGATCATGCTTCAAAAAACTTCGTTTGAGCCTGCCACTCCTTTTTCACAGGCAGACCTGCCTAAAGAACTAGCTGATGCAGATCTGTCGATGCCAATTCTTAGAAGGAAGTCGACGGTTGGCATGGCTTGGCATTTGCCCCCCCAAAAAAATGAGTGTAACTCAACTGTAAACATCTGTAAACCCGAAAAGATGGCAACAAGACTCACCAGACTCACTGGCTGCCTGGCTCTCTGCACCGGAAGCAGTCGAGTGGTCCAAGGGATCAGCAGCAAGAAGTGCAGAGCCAGCAGCACGTGTCGGCCCCACATCTCGGTCCCAAAGGCATGCCAGAGTTGAAAGCCACCAGTGGCACGAAGGGTCAACCTCAGATACGACCTGCACATCGCTACACGGCCAGGATTGGAAGGAACCCGTCTTTTGAAGGAACCAGAACATGCTCACGATACAACGAAGGTTCTTGGGGGGGTGGGGAGCAAAACCGCCAAAGGCTTCCTGAAACCAAAGAAAACATTTGCTTTCACCTACCTGGGGAGCCCTTCAGAGCCCTCCCTCATCTCTGCACTTCTTTTGGCGAGCTGGATTCTTGTTCCATCTTTTTTCCAAGCCCCACCAAAACAGGACCCGCGCAGCTCCTCGCGCGCCACCGGTGGCGCGCCACCCGATCAAAAGTACGATCGCCGACACGGCGACAGGCGACAGGCCAGCCCCACCTGGACAATCTGCGGACGTCCGGAGGCACCTGCACCCCATACCACCGAAGGCCTGGTCGTGCCGAAGCTCGGCTGTCGGCAGTCGCGGCGCAAAAACCGGCTCCGACACCCAAAACCCGCGGGAACGCGAACAGACGAAGCTCACCAACGCGAACAACGAGAATTGTTGGATGGAACACTCCATCCGATTCCAGCGGGTGTCTGTTTTGATGACCAGCGTGACAAGCGCGCAAGCGCACCCAGCGGCATCTGACTCCATCAGAACTTCAGAGCACCACCCCAAGACCCCAAAGATGGGCGTTCATCTTCCAAACTCGTCCTTGTCAAACAGACTTCCCCCTCACACATGCGCTGTTTCTTGAAGGCTTGAAGGTCACCAAGCCTATATCCAACACCAAGACGTTGGCGCAGACGGCGATGAGGATGGCCAAGCTCAAGAAAGGGATGAACGGACTCCAGAAAAACAAGACCTCCAAATACCTCAGAGCCAAAGGTGGGTGGCCCACACGAGGCCGAACGGTGCGCCACATGGGCCGAAAGGTGCGCGGAGATTGGCGCAGATCTTTGGGGTGCACGATGTTCATGGAGAGCAAGATCAAAGGAGTGTGATCTGTAGAGGCTCATGATGTTCTTCTTCTGTAGAGGCTTCATGTCTTTCTTCAGCTAAAGAAGCAAAAGAACGAGTCTGTCAGGCAAAGTTCACAGCCAAAATGGAGAGCCAATCTGTGTCTTTCTTCAAAAGATCCACAGTGGAGTCCCTTTGATTGGGTTTGTTTCACCCTCCCTTAGCGCCGGTCCCAAAGACTACCGGCTGCGGGGGGACTCCCCAGGGTGGGCCTCATCGGTGAATGAACTGAAGGTGTCCGTCTCAAGGGGGAAAAAGAAGGACTCAATGACCCAACAAACGAAAAAAGCCTTCTCGTCCAGGGACCACAAGACCATCATCTCAATACCAGGACCTTTTGACGGGGCTCCTAACAGAACAGGTTTCACCCAAGAAGCACATCGCCGCACGCCTCGCTCCCACCTCACAGGCCTCTCCCACCTCCCCGTCTCCGCTCTTTCGCCTCTCCCAGCTGCGTGGTCAGAAGGGTCACCTGCTTCTGCGGCATCAGCAGTCCGCTGGTTCGCCGCCCCGGTCCGACCGGCAACACCAAGTGGCCCTGGTGCTTCGCCGGGTGCTTCAGCCGCGTCAGGGGACCGGTTGCGACCGGGGGAGGAGAGGGGAGCAGGGAGGAGATGGGGGGGGTTGGGTGGTGCGAAAGGTGGCACAGTGCTGCGTATCCGCAGCATTGGCCTGGCAAAAGCCTTCTCCAGCTAGGATCAGTTCTTAGGCGCAGCTGGATCCCAAGAGAAACAAAGACTCACTTCTCTTTGAAAAGCAGTTTCCTTGCAAAATGTGCAAAATCGTGTGTCGCTTCTAGTGACTAGTGTTGTTTTCCAAACCTTCTGGGTCTATTCCACGATCTCCACCTCTGCGCAGAGTTCAGCCCTTCTTCAGCTGCGACGCAAGGACAACCGGTGTGCGGCATGCGCACGAAACCAACTTCCACACATACGATGTGCGCATGCCGGTCCTCATCGCTTGTGTGGGAGATGCGCCAGAGCATTACGAAGAAGAGAGGCTGCAGAGTGCTGCGGATCAAGAGTTTCCTGGTGCTGCTGAGGTGTTCTTCTCTGCAAATCAGTCGAACCCCTTCATTGGTTGTCCGCTCGGGTCCACTCCCCAAAAAGAGTTGAACGGAAAGGAGGTCACTGGGTCGTGGCTTTCAGCAGACAACAGGAGGTTTTAGAGGTCGCAACCTGGTGGACTTCTTCCATGCGAAGGTGACCAGAAGCCTGGGGTGTAACAAGCAACAACGGGGTACAACAAGCAGTCCTGCTAAAGCTGTAGGGGCTTGTTCCCCACGAGTTGTTTCAGAAGGACTCAAGTAGCATGAAACCCAGACTGCAACACCTTCAAGAGCCAAATTTTCACAATTTCAATTTCACAATGACGTGCTGTTTCACGATCTGAACATACCTTTATGAGACGTGTTGTTCATTCTTAATGTTCCCACTTCGATGTTCAGTGAGGCAAATGTTTGATAAGCAATCGTGTACACGTGTTTTGCAAAAGATCAAGAGGCCCATTCTCCCTTTACAACCCCCCCCCCCCCGCCAGTCACGGTTCCAGGCCGCCCCCGAAGGTCAACCCAGGTTCTTGAGGAGGAGCGGGGTCAAGTTGTCCACGATCGAGCGCGTGCAACGGCCATCGCACCACCAATCCTCGCTGAGTGTGCAGAGGTCCTGGCATTGCCAGAGATGAATTCTGGCACCTCCTGGGTGTTTTATAGTGCAGTATATAAGTAAGGCACTTGCATATCGAAAAGAGAGGAACCCTCATTGGCCGCTCACATTCTTGGAGATGTGAATATCATTCAATATCAATATCTTCGACATGCTCTGTACCAATATATATCTATCCATCATCAACTCCCCCTTGTCGTAAGCAAATAAACAAAACTGTGTTGGTTCCTTTGCTTGCGTTCGTGGCGCAAACGGTTAATCAAGCACAGAGCAACTGTGCACTTGTTTGAAGGAGCTTGCTTGCTTTGGACTCTCTTCACATCCCTTCATGGGGAGCGTGACATTATAAAGATCTCGAAACCTCTGAAAAACGGGCGCTTCTTCTCCTTCTCGGTGCTCAAGATTTGCTCTTCCCAGATCTGCAAGTTGAAGATCTGATGTTCAGGCGAGTCTTCCTGGCCTCATGTGGGGAGGCTGTTCGATCAATTTGTGTTTGTTTGCTCTACACTTTCTGAGGGGTTCCTCCTCCCGGCCCGCTGGGCAGTGGCTTCTCATGCAGAGCTCCGAGTGGCACACGGTCCAGAAGAGCTTCCAGCCCCCCATGCAGTTCTCATGCAGAGAGACCGTGATCAGCAAGGGTAAGAGCCACGCAGTACCCAGGCGAAAGGCCATCATCAATCGATCCGCCTCCAGAGGCGACTCTGATCGAGGTGGGGGGGGGCTGGGGGCTGATGGCCCATCTCTGGGTGGCCATCCGATGAGACCTTCAAACCCGAATCTATTAAGGGTAAGAGGGTGCCACAAATCACCACGAACATGCGGTACTGGATCCCGCTGAGGGGAACCTAAATTTCTTCGCTACGAGTAGAAGACCCATCAAGTGAAGTCCTCAAGATGGGCCAAATGCGGTACTGGATGTTGACGGTGTCGCCGCATTCGAAAGACTGGAGTTGGGCAAGTGTGGAGTCGGCTTCATGCTGAAGGGTCTATTGCCTTGGTTCGGTGGTTGAGGGTTCTGATTAAGACCCAAGGCTTACCGAGAGCAAATCTGTTTTGACAAACTGTGCTTTGTTGGGGTTGCCCAATGCATTTGGATAAAGCAAATGCCAGCGAATTGAAAGCTTTTTGCGGTTGTATTTGATGCTGACACCTTTGTGGACAAACAAATGAACAAAGGTTGAAACAGGACAACACATGCACTCCGAGGGACGTAACATGGAAGTGGAGTTCACCAGCGGCCATGCCATCCACGGAATCATGAGTCTTTCACGCACTCGTTCTCCCCAAAAAAAACAACACAACCAATGCAATTGCCACGGCCGCCACGGCCAGACACCGCGGGAACACCGCGGTGTTTCCCATCCCGCGGTGTCGAACGAACACCGCACAGGGCGGCTGTGTGCCTTGATGCCGGTGAGCTTCGAGTAGTATCCCGCCAGGGTCCCCAAGACCAGCAGGTCCAAGCCGACGATCAACAGTGGAGCGGCAGTGTAGAAGAAGCTCAAGACCCCTTCCGACAGAGCAAAGGTGTTCTTGGCAGGTAAGGCCTCACCAGCGAAGAAGGGCATCCGCTTGTCTATAGGCGGGGAGTCTTCATTTCAGCGGCCGGTGCGCGGGGAGGGAGTTCGAAGGCAGCTTGGCAAGCAGCTTTGGCCAAGTGATTGCAGTGTTTTGGGAACAAGGTTTAGACAGGGCCCTTTCTTTCGAGCCGTGAACGCCCGACTTGATCATCAGATCCGGCCTCTTATTCTCGCTTCTCATCCTGGGTGCGTCTCACCCCACTCGGGACGAAGCTAGACTCTGAGCAACCGGGGCCTGAGACACTGCGAAGAGGATGGAGGGAGATGAGAAGAGCGTCACAACAAAGACCCAGCAAAGCCAGGAGAGCAGCCTCCGTCAGGGTCCGACCGATCAGTCTCACCCAGGCCGATCTTGATTGGGAGAGGATCCAGATCTGTGGTGGGGCACATTGTCCTGCACAAGTTGTGAAGTATGGAGGTCTTGAAAAGAAAGCTGTGTTCAATACATGCTTAGAGGGGGCATTCTCTGAGATCTCTTTCTGACAGCCCGATGCGCAAATCCGGAAGAGATACCCCATACCTCTAGGAACCCGATAGACGCTGGGCGCACCTTTCGCACCTACACATGGATGAGGGCCAGAGCATCTTTATCTGAAGCCAGACCGGGTTTCCCCGCTTTCAATCTGCAGCAGCCATGACGGCAGCTGTGGGTCTTGATAAAGATACTTCCTTGGACTAAAAAGACTAAGAAAGAAACTGTTGCAAGTACTTTGTCATGATTCAGCTTTCTATGTCAAGGTTTAAGCGCAAGCCTCTGAAACAAAATATGCTGAATCTTGTCAAGTAAACAAGCCTGTTGCCAGAAAAACAATAAAAGCAGTATATATAGATGGTATTAGATGGTCATGAGTCATGAATACACAAGCTTCCCTGATTTTCAGAAGATGATCACTGAGCACCTCTCTGCAGTGTTGAAGTTTGATCAAAAATGACAAAAAGAACAAATGACTGACCAGAAAGAACGTATATATCCCTCCCTCCAACGTGCTGATGGTTCCATGAAACCTGGAGCGTACGAAACTTGGACCTGCGAAGACCTTCGATGGGTTGACGGTGTGTGACAGAGAGAGAGAGAGAGAGAGCGAGCGAACCCTCAAAATCCACACCACCCCACGTGTTCTCGCCATGGAACCCAGCTGAGCCCCCCCGGTCGGAGCGTCCGGTCCCGGACCCGTCCGGTCCCGGACCTCCAACCTCGCCCGTCGGTCCCGTCTCTCCAAGGTCTCGGCGCCTCAGCCAGGTCTCCCTCCATCCCCGGAAGGTCTCGGACTCGTCGCCGGAGTCCGACGGATCACCTGCGCGGACCGCGCGCGGACCGCGCGCGGTGGTCGAGGGGGGAGGGGAGAGAGGGGTCTGAGGACTGGGGGGGGGGTCCTTGCGGACCTAGCACAGCTGAGGAGTTGATATTCGGAAATGACTTGACTTCGAGGGATCACCACCCTAAGAAGCGACTTGGAAGAAAGCAAGGCACATGCATAGACTGGGCAAACAAGTGTTTTTTGTTCTGGCAAGTGTTCTGACACATCATCTGGCATCAAGGTGGGAAATTATTCTTGCGTGTGTTCTGACATCCTTGCTGGCATCTGTTCTGACATGTGCCGCTGCCGTCAAGTCTGAAACCTGTTCCGACATTTTTGGTTGGAAGCGGGTAAGGAAGGCAGAGGTGGGCGGCGGGCGGACAGAATTCGCTGACATAAAATCTGAAGACCCTCAACATCCCTCAACTAACACATGGGGACAAAATATAACAAAATGTAAGAAATTGTGTCAAAAGGATGCAAAAAAGAGTCGGCACGTTTGAGAAAGAGGGGTGTCCTTGGGGATTTGTTCGGGAAGGGATCGATTGAGTTCTGATCTCCTTTTTACATTCACAAATGAAAGAAACAAGGTGGAGAGCCATACAGCCTTCCCCGATGGGTATGCATTACCATTCGTTACCTTTGGGTACAACTACCATTTCATTGACCAGCCGATGACTACTCGACAACTTCGCTCAAAAGCTGCAGGACCACCACCCTGTGCCGAGACGCCTATCCATTGAGAGGGACCAGGCATCAGCAACTGAAAGTAGGATGTCTGTACCGAACACAGGGGATTGTTCAGGATCATCGATTGATTTGCAAGCCCAAAACTGATCGGAAAAGCCCGAAACGGTCCTGGGAACAGGGCAATTGTATCCATCCCAAAGAGCTCCTCCTTCCAGTACCTTTCAAAGGCCAAGTTGCCACTGGTTCCTGGGCGGTCGGCTGGGATACTGGCGATCACACTCATCGACAGCAAGCTCATCAAGCACCACACCAAGATCACGAAGAGCTCGCTGCTGGGGTTCTCCTCCATGAGAGCATGAGTTGTTGCGCCAGTGGTCTTTGAAAAGTTGTTCTTCATTATTGTGCCGGGCCATGCCCAATCCGAGAGACAAAATGAATCTTTTGTGCCTATTGAGCTGAGGGGAGTTCCACCCTCTTGCAAATTAATTCAGATGGGTGACCATGTGAGGACGACACAGGGTCAATGGCTCTCCTTCAAGTTGGCCACAGTGAGCTTGGAGAGAGGCGGGCTGCACAAATGGTACCCAGGACTTATGGAGACGATAAGCAAAAGCAGAGTGGACAGGATGATCATGGAGCCCGCGACTTTCAAGACCGCCACGTTGGATGAGAAGACTCCAGCACCCAAAGCACCCGAAGTCGAAAGGCTGGAAGCCACTCGGAGTTTGTCCCGAAGCCTCTTCTGAAACACCACGATGCCCAATGAAAGCAGCAAGACAGAGGCCATGACCTGCAGATTGGTGCGCCACACTGCGGGAGAATAGAAGAGGAACGCCTGCCGCTCCTCTGGCGAGATCCAGGATGCACTCAAACTTCGCCCGTCCCCGAGCCTTGTCGTCCACGCGTTCGCATGTCCGACCGAAGCTCGGATGCGAACACCGCGTTTCGACCCAAGTTCAGCTCTGGGATTCCAACACAGAAGTGCACCAAAGGGTTCAAAGGTTGCCGAAGACCCTGCTGTTTCACATCTCCCCCCTTTTTTGAGAGTCGTTGGATCTTTTCTTCAGCCAAGACACACGTTGCCCATGAGAGCTGTGGCATGCACAGGCGCCACTTCGCTGAGGCTCATGGGCAATTCACAGGAGAGACGATTGTGGTGTAGCATCACTTGAGCGCCCACCGGCGGGCACACGCCGCACCAGTCGGGGCAGTTCTTTCGCACCTGCTCTGCCTGCAGTTCTGAAGGCAGGTTCTGCCAAGAGAAAACTCTACAAATGGAAAACTCTGGGAGGTGAAGGACAGGTTGGCAAGTTGGGGAGATGTATGTAGCATATGGAGCACCATTATGCAGGAATCCGATCATGTTTGCTGCGGAGTTCCCATGTGAAGTGCTCATTCCTGCAGTGGGTGAGTCAAACGGCGGTGTAGCTACCTGTGTGGAAGCATCGGGACGAGGGGCACTTGACCCCCAGGAACGGAGACGGGGGGATTTCCACGGGTGGTGTGCCCTCCCCGGCCTGGTGATACCGGTGATTGAAGCCCTTGCTTAGACCACCAAGATCATTCCAAAATCAACGTATTATCCTGTTCCAAAAAACATGTTTGCCAAGGAAAACTCAGGTTGCACCCTTCGTGACAGCGAACAACAATTCCAGCTGCCGATGGTCATGTCCAAAGATGCTGGGCCCTAGGGCCCTAGGGTTGAACTCCTCGTCTTTCCAACCTTCGGTCGTGATCTCTTCTCAGACCGCTACCACAAAAAAGTAGGCATGCGAACACCACACCACACACTCCAACTACACGCGCGGCTCACCCTGAAGAAACACCGGTTCACGCGGTGGCCGTCCCCTGGGCCGCTTCAAACCGGCCCGGTGGCTTCTTCGGTGTTGGGCCTCGTTAAACGTGAAAGCCTCGGCTTCATCGTGAAAGCCCCCATAATCACAGTGGCGATTGGCCGAGGCCAAGTTCCTGGCACCAGCCGCCACGAGCTCGTCCCGCGCGCGCGCGCGGTCGAGCGGGGAACCAGTCGGGTCGGGCAGGGCCCCTCGGCATGAAGGGTCACTAAAGCACCGCTTAGCGGTGGTGGAGTGCCGTGCTTCCGATGTGGCGATCCCTCGAGAGAATGGAAAAGGGTCGTCAAGTGGTGTCAGTTGGTCGAACACATGAAAGAGGACGCCACCGACAGTTGGTAGAGGACGTCAGTAGTCTTCGTTTCAGGCCAGCCACTGGCCACTTCTTGGGAGGAGTCAGAGTGTCACCGGCCTTTTCCAAAAGAAGACATCTCGGAGGATCGTTTTCCGATCTCCGAGCTTGTTTTGGGCCTCCTGGGTCTCCTAAGATCATGTGGGGTCATCTCCAGAAACAGGCGCTATATATCCACACTGCACCCGCTTCTGAAGATGGATACCGCCCGACGGAAAAAGGAACACTGTTCCAAGCTAAGCACGAATTTCTTCTCTTTCTGCTTCTTGCTATACAGGGGGAGACCAAGAAGCAAAGAAACATGAAGAAAAACGGGCATGGCAACACAGCTCCAGCAGATTTCGCCCCCTCCCACCGAGACTCGCGATGCCCTGAGTGTTCAGCAGCCCGACCCCTCGGCCCCCCTCGGCCGTCGAGGAGCGCACAGCCGAGGCCGCGGATGATGAAGCGTGGGTTGTCGAAGCACAACGTGGTAAGCTGCAACGGGCTCATGGCGCCATCCTCAGTGACGTCGGTCCCAAGACACGCATTGCGTATGGTTAGAGAAGAGCAAATGCGTATCCCCACCCCATCAAGGCTCTATATAACCAGCTTGCTTCACCCTTGAGGCCCTTTTCAACTTGACCTTCGCTCCAGGACATTGATTTGGAGTCCTGCTCCAGGGCCAAATTGAAACACAGGGTTTCGCGTCAGTTCTACGTGGAGCTTGGAACCTCCTTCGGGCCTCCTTTGGAGCCTCCTTTGCCATCAAGCTAGAGTGAAACGACAGACATGCAAACCTCCTTCCGAACCTCCTTCGGAGCCTCCTTTGGAGCCTCTTTGGCATCCTCTCAAGCTAAAGTCAAGTAAAGTGAAACGACAGGCCTCCTTGAAACACAAAGAGTTTCGAGGCAGTTCTACGCAGAGTTGCCAGAATCCTCCCCTGTCTCGGACCGTGCGCTTGGCTTACGCTGCGGTTCCGCATGTTGTACTCGCCCTGGCGCAGGGATGTCAGTCCGTTGAGCAATTGCAAACAGCCCATCACTCCCCTGCTTTTTCAGAAAAGCTTTGATGGTATTTGAGGGGAAAAGCAGAATGTGGGCCTACTAAGACCGATTTGGTGCTTTGCCTGCCTCTCCTTCGCTCTGCTTGTTGTAGCTGCCTCTTCAACTCCTCGATTTCGTCATCCTTTTCTTCGAGCTTTTGCCGAAGGTCTTGGTTCTCTTGGTAGAGTTCGTCTGCTTCTTCGTCCAGCGCCCTGTTATCTTCTTCTAGGCCTTGGTTCCGCTGGTCCAGCGCGCCCTTCTCTTTTTCCAATTGCTTCTTCTGCTCTGCATCCTTCTGCGCCTTGCGCTGGTTCAAAGCTGCTTTCACCATCAATTTTGCATTGCGGAAGTCTTGCTTCTCTTCTTCACGTATGGCGCAGAGGTGCATGACCCTGAGTTCCCTGCATGTCTTGTTTAATATGTCTAATGCCCTTCTCTTCTCCTTCAATTCCTCGTCCGTTTTCGGACTTCTCATCATGGCAATCTCTCCGGCTTGGCGCTTTGACTCCACACACTGTTTTAAGATCACCTTCTTGACGCGCTTCTGAATGTGCTCTAATTCGTCTTTGGAGAGGCAGGAGGAGAGGCCAGAGACTTCTTCCACGCCCTTGTCTGTGGCCTTCTGGTTCAATGCGTTCAAGGCCTTATATGCCACAGCAAGAGTTCCTTGTTGTCCCACTCTCTTTGCGGTTCATCCTTTTTGTCTTTGGTTGTTCCTGAAGAACCTCTCTCCCCCAAGACTGGGGCAGAGTAAAACTTAGCCATAGCTTGGAAGTGTGACCCGTAGTTGTCACCCCAGTATTTTATCTCTTTTCTGCAGATCGCCTGCCAGCAGCGAGGAAGAAAACTCACAACCGTATGGTCCCACACATGTACGTAATATGATTTCCAGCAAATCATGACGGCGCATGGCCACTCACAAGAGAACAGACGTCCTAAGCGATCAGCATCAACAACCTTCACAAATATGAAGGTTTCACGTCCATTTCACCGTGCCAGGCCTCTGTAGTTGTCGAATATTCCATTCCACAGCGACAAGAGTCGGTACAGATTGGACTCAGGATCTTTCTCGCCCTGAACGGAAACAGAAGAACCAAACAGAACTCCAACCTGCAGTAGGCAAAAAAAATGATTCTTTCGTTCTCGGACTGTTTTCAGATACAAAGCACATCTATGACATTGCATCTTTGGAAATCACACTAAGGTTTCTACTCCGAAAATTCAGCAGCACGCCACTACTTCTAGACAGACAAGGCAAAACCAGACGGTAGTGTCCTAAAGAACAACAAGAACTTCAACCAGCCGATTCCGAACGCAGTCCAACATTCATCAGCACAATGCAGGAGCTGCAAGAGCAGAGCAGAGGAAGGGATAATGATTGCAAAACCCAGTGCAATTGTCCATTTCTACGGACGACTCCCAAATCAGATTTGGACACACCAACAAAATCACTTGCCCATGGCTCCAAAATGGTGTATGATCGCTCTGCAATAATCCACCCGCATGGAGCAGTCTGGATCACCAGCGTGGGACCCAGTCCCTGATTCACACCCAGTCTTGTTGAGCCGCACCCACCAGAGCAGCATCAGTATTCAGTATCTGACTGTTGGTTATGGCCCCCACCCAAAGAGATGGAGTATGATCAGAAGGCATATAAACCAGCAAAGCAACCAGGCAATATCGCCAAAAAGGCCTCGACTCAACATTCAAGGGTGCAAAAGCATAATTCACACCAATTTATTTTATCCCGTCTCTTCCCATCAAGCATGAAGGAGCTGCGGCCAACGGGTGGGTGGGGGTTGAGTTTCGGCTATGCAATGGGTACTTAGTTTGTTTTAGTCTCTCAGCAGTATGATTGGTTTGTAGATAGATGCAGTGTATTACATATTATGTACATCGATATGTTTTATGTATGCAAAACAGTAACATGTACATGGTGTACTGTGCATATGCCAATACTACTACGTACTCAATGGGATATGATGTTACATGATACCATGAGTGCATCTTCCTTGTCGGCAACTTGTGGCCCAGCAAGGGGTGGCGAAAACTAGGGGAAGAAGCAGCGCTGGTGCCTTTTTGGCAGCAGAGCCGGGGCCGGGAGAGGCAACATACCATGGCCGAGGGCAGAGGACAGTCCCCCCCCCAATACGACCTGAACACAGGAAACACAGAACCACTCTAGCAACAACAGCAGCAACAGCAACCAGCAGCAGCAAGCATCATCAGCAGCAGCAACAAAACAGCACCACCTGTGGCGGCAGCAGCAGCAGCAGATGCACGATTGATAACACCGTCAGGTATAACAAACAGTGAACCATCACAGCTGGGATCTCAAAACTATGTTTTGGGTTCACGTAAGCCCTTGTTTGGTGTGAACTGTGATTTGGTGTAAACCGTGACTCTGGCTGGCGTAAACGGTGGTTGGTACAAACCGTGGTTGGTGTACACAGTGTAAACCGTGGTTGGTGTAGACTGTGGTCTGGTGAAAACGGTGGTTGGCGCAAGCCGTGGATTGATGTAAACCGTGTATGGTGTAAAACGTGGTTTGGTGTAAACCGTGATTTTGTGTAAACATGGTTGATGTAAACTTAACCCTTGTTTGGTGTGAACCGTGATTTGGCGTGAACCGCGGCTGGCGTAGACTGTGGTTGGCGTAAATGGTGGTTGGTGTAAACCGTGGTTGGTGTCAACCGTGCTTTGGTGTGAACCGTGGTTGGTATAGACCGTCGTCTGGTGTAAACTGCGCTTGGCGCAAGCCGTGGTTTGATGTAAACCTTGTATGGTGTAAAACGGGGTTTGGTGTAAACCGTGATTTTGTGTAAACATGGTTGGTGAAAACCCTGGTATTGCGGTCGGTGTAGACCGTGGTTGGTGTAGACGGTGGTTGGTGTAAATCGTGGTTGGTGTAAACCGTGGTTTGGTGTAAACAGTGGTTGGTGTAGACCGTGGTTTGATGTCAACGGTGGTTGGCGCCAACCGTGGTTTGGCGTAAGCGGTGTTTTGGTGTCTTGTGTAAACCGTGGTTTGGCGCAAACCGAGCAGCAGCAGCAGCAGCAGCAAAGCAGCAGCAACAGAGAAACATAGAAACAGCAATGGGAACTGAGAAACAGGAGTTTATCCCGCGGAGGGGGGGCCCGCAGAAGAGTAGACCTCCAGTGTCTTTTCGCGCGAAGCTAAGTGTCCTCCTTGAGCCTAGAGAAGTCACAGACGACTAACACTAACCATGGTATGGAAATGAGGCTGTACAAGCCCCCATTTCAGCCGGCACAAATCATAAAACACTTCCACCATGGAGCGCTACGTCCCTACTGTTTTCCTTTCTAGACCAAGTCGAAAGTCAAGTAAGATCTCCAAAACGCCACAAGTACCAAGGCCCATATACCTACAGGTCCAGTGTGTTACACACCGATAAGTAGTCTCATAGCTTAAAAGTACACAAGGGGAGCGATAGCTTACTCACCCCTATGTCAAAAATAAACCGGTTGACACTCGTCTGACTGTACATCCAGCTGGTGAAGAAACCGCATCAATATCGTTGTCGTTGCCTTCACAACACTGCACAGAACATGTAGGCTTCTCACCTGACGGTAAGTTCCTCGCATTGAATCCTACGCCAGTCGAAGAATGCTTGGTCTGATGACCTCGAAGACCTTGAAGGAGCAGGAAGGGATTGTTGTTGGCTTCCATAGTCTGAATCTTTTCCATCTCATTTCCAATTGATTTTCTTACCTTTTCTCTTGCCTTGTCCTTTTCCTTTGTTGGAATACCACGCTTGTCCAAGCTGCTCCCAAAATCCATGGCTTCTTCATAGCCGTAGTCTTCTTGCTCTCCGGCAAGGATTGCATTACAATCTATTTTTATTCTGTGTCATACTGCTCAGTAGTATCTTGACTCTTGACCATATTGCTCATCAGCATAGTTTCCTTTCCCACGTCTCCCTTCTGGTCTGCCTTTTCCTTTGCCGTTTCTCTTTCCTTTTCCTTTTCCTTTTCCTTTTCTGGCTCTTCTGCCTTGGAATCTTCTCTGAAACCATGTGTAGTTTGTGTCATCGTAGATCCAGAAAACATCATCCTTCAGCACCATCATCTGCATCTTCTGCCCAGTAGCCAAGTGCGCCATCCTCTTCTCCTTCATCCAGGACTAGAAAAGATCTTCGTCCTCCGGCACCTGCAGGCTGCATCAATGGGTTGTCAGCAGAAATTTTTTGTTGCGCAGAACATCTCAATGAAGACCGTTCTGAGTTCATTGACTGTATACTGCTGCAAGAGGCGTCCACAATGAGTCATCAAAGAAGTCAAAATGTTTCGCTGATCTTGGGAAAGGGCTGCTAAACTGAGCATCAACAATGCCACAACATTCTCTCGCAGAAGGAAATCATGAATGTACATATTTTGATATTTCGTGTTCACATGAGTGATCATATCTTGAATACGCTCTTGCGTTGGTGGAATGAGTTCTGCTGCAACTTGTCTT